CTTGTTTTCTAATCTCAAATCACACACAATCGCATGGCCTCGCTCCAATCCAGTCGACAAGTCCATGTTCAACCAAGCGGACAACGTCAGTTCATCCGTTTCCCTTTGGAGTCCTCGTGTCTCGCTAAGATTGGCATGCCTCAACGTGCGCACTTTGCTGCAGATTGGCCAACAGGCAGCACTTGCCCGCACACTAGAGACCCTATCGATCGATATTTGCTGTTTATCAGAAACCCGCCTGCAAGGTTCGAGCTCCGTGCTTACCCTGAGATCCCCCACATGCGACACTGGCTGCACATTCTCATTGCGCCTATCTGGCGATGATGCAGCTTCAAATGCCGGTCAAGCTGGCGTCGGCATTGTTTTGAGTCCCCGGGCTGAAGCTGCCCTGCTTGATTGGATCCCAGTAAACAGTAGGATGTGCGCCGTTAGATTAGCTGGTTCGTTCCGTGCTTCGAAGTCGAGCGGGGACAAACGGTGCCTTTTTGTCATTGCGGCCTACGCCCCTACAAACTGTAGCACTAATTCGGTAAAAAATGATTTCTATCAGCAACTTCACGAGCTCCTTCGTTAAAGAAGAGGCAAGGATACTGTGGTGCTGGCTGGCGATCTAAACGCCCAAGTCGGAAAATTGTCCTCTGATGAGCTTCATCTGGGTGGCCAACATGGTGTAGGCTCGCGTAATAATAATGGTGAGCGATTGCTCCAGCTGTGTGAAGATGCTCGCCTCTTTCTCGCGAGCACTAATTTTCGACACAGCACCCGCAGAAGTGTGACTTGGCACCCACCAGCTTCGGGCCAGTCATCGACGCAAATCGATCATATCGCGATCAGTTACCGCTTGCGAGGCTGTGTCCAAAACTGTCGCTCGATTTGGAGCACGAGCGTGGACTCGGACCACGCACTTGTATGTGCCGACCTCCGGGTGCGTTTCGGTGGACGTCAGCGACGTCGATGTGAACGGATTGACATTAGCCAGCTGGCGAAGCCAGACGTTCTGAATGTGTACCAAGATGCGCTGACATCTGGGCTGAGTAAGCGCCCACTAAACACCGTTGAAGATCACTGGTCGCACACTCGTCAAGCGTTGCTATTAGCACGCATGTCTTCATTTGGCAAAACAAATTGCAAAACCGAACATTGGGTCTCTACACAGTCTCTGGAACTTATGGATGCTCGCCGACGGATTCCGGCTGGAAACGAATACAATGAAGCTCGCAAAAATCTCAGGGCGAAACTACGTGCTAGCCTAAAGAAGGACCGCGAAACCTGGTGGTATGATCGTGCCTCTGAGATGGAAACAGCCGCTGCCATTGGTAACCATCGTAAGTTATACCGGCTGATACGGGCAACAGGCAGCAGGAGACCTGGTGTTAGCGAGACCATACTCGACGAGAGTGGGCAGATGATCCACAGCCTGTCAAAACGCTTGGAGCGTTGGGCTGGACACTTTGCTATGCAATTTAACCAACCTGAGTTATCACTTTCTTCGGGCATTGAGCGCCCTTCTCCTTGGGCCGTCTCCTTGGATCCGCCCTCACGCGCAGAAGTCGAACGTGAGATCAGGCTGTAGAAATTGCATAAGGCCGCAGGAGCAGATAGAATTCCTCCAGTCCTCTTCAAATTCGGTGGACCTGCTCTAGTAGATGATCTACACGAGTTGCTAGTAAAACTTTGGGAGGAGGAGACAGTCCCGACGGACTGGAACCGCTCCGTCATTGTCCCAATTTTCAAGGGAGGCTCCCGTTTAGAATGCGGCAACCATAGAGGGATCAGTCTGATTTCGATTGTCTCTAAATTGCTTGCCTCTCTTATTCTCCACAGACTGACTGGCACTCGTGAAAGCCAAATTCGTGTAGAGCAAGCCGGATTTCGTCGAGGTCGAGGCTGCATCGACCACATCTTCACATTGCGTCAAGTGTTGGAGCACCGCCATGTTTATTGGCGACTCATCTTGGGGTGAATCGATAGTCGTACCCATCTTCAAAAAAGGCCTGCGCACAATCTGCTCCAACTACAGAGGAATAAGTTTAGTCCCCGTCGTTTGCAAGCTGCTGGTGTCCATCATACTTCGCAGGCTATCCCCAACACGCGAATCGTTGCAACGAGAAGAACAAGCTGGGTTTCGCCCTGGTCGCGGCTGCATCGATCAAATCTTCACACTTTGCCAGATCCTCGAGCTCTGCCATGTGTATCAGAGGCCAACGATTGCTGTGTTCCTGGATATCCGTGCAGCCTTCGATTCTGTCGATCGTACAGTACTATGGCAGTGCCTTCTGAGGAACGGTGTCCCCGAGAAGTTCGTCTCCGTACTGCGCGCTCTATATCGTCTGACCTAGGGCAGGGTTAGAGCTTATGGTATGCTTTCGCCTACCTTTATGGTCTCCAGTGGAGTTCGACAAGTATGCCCTATCTCTCCGTTCCTATTCAACTTTGCCATTGAGGATGTCCTGAAGAACGCTCTGAGCGATTCGTTGAACGCTGGCGTTGAGCTCCTCCCAGGTAGTCGAGTTGTTGATTTGGATTATGCTGATGATATCGTCTTGCTGGGTGACGATCCACAGGTCGTCCAACTTGCATTAAACCGCTTGACGATTGAAGCATCAAAGTACGGTACGTGCTTTTCGCCATCCAAATACAAGGCTCTCCTTCAAGACTGGCAGGTGCCTCTGCTTGCACTCACGATTGCTGGTGAGACACTGGAGGTTGTGGAGAGCTTTGTCTACTTGGGAAGTTGCATCACTGCTGGCGGGGCTGTTGGAGACGAGATTTCGACGCACATCTCGAAAGCACGTCTCGCTTTTTCTAGGCTGAGGCATTTGTGGCGTCGCCACGACATTCGTCTCTCCATCAAAGGGCGGGTCTATTGTGCAAGTGTTCGTGCTGTACTGTTGTACGGATGCGAGACCTGGCCCATTCGTAAAGATGACTTGCGCAGGCTATCCGTCTTCGAGCACCGCTGTCTGCGGTCCATTGCCCGTGTGTGGTGGCAGCATCACGTAAGCAATGTGGAAGTTAGACAGCGTGTCTTGGGACGTGGAAGCCACTCGCTCGAGGAGCTCATCTCACTGCATCAACTGCGGTTGTTGGGACACGTATTGCGCATGCCTGTCCAGCGTTACCCCCGTCGTGCGTTGTTTGCACTTGCTGGACAGGTCTGGAAGAGACGGTCTGGTGGACAGCCTATAACATGGAGAAGCCGCATGAAAAAGTTGACGAAACAATTGGCCTCGGCCGGTTGTTGTCGACTACCTGGTTGGGGTCCGAGAGATGAGGATACTTGCTGGTTGAAAACCTTGGAAGTTATGGCTCAAGATCGATGTCAATGGCGAACGTGTGCATCAGTGTGTTGCGGTGTCCCTTCCTCCTCCCCCTAAAAAAAGAACAAACTGAAAAAATTTCAAAAACTGTGAGTGGTAAACTTGACAAAAAAAGCATTTCTTGTTGCTCTTTTCTTATTATTCATATTGTTTTCCTATTCAGCCATGATTCCGATGGCACAATATCTGTACCACAGATTGTGTATTATATATATATATATATATATATATATATATATATATATATATATATATATTGGCGACTCACCGTTGTCGTGTTTCTTGACATAAAAGGTGCCTTCGACTCAGTCGATCGATGTGCCCTTTGGGACTGTCTGTTGAGGAAAGGTGTGCCTGATAAATATGTAAACATTATCAAAGCGCTGTACGCACATAGTTCGGGCAGGGTGAGGGTTTATGGCAAACTCTCGCCACCCTTCAGTATCACCAGCGGTGTGAGACAAGGATGCCCGCTGTCACCTTTCCTCTTCAACTTCGCTATTGATGAAGTCATGGAAACAGCGTTCGCTGGACACGACCTAGAAGGTGTGGAGCTACTTCTTGACTTAGCGTATGCAAACGATATTGCCCTAATCTGTGACAGCTCCGAAACATGCCAAACAGCACTGAACCGATTAGCACTGGCTTTCGATCGTTTTGGGCTATGCTTTGCTCCATCGAAATGCAAAGTACTTCTCCAAGATTGGCAGGGACCCAACCCTGCGCTAACGCTTGGTGGTGATCTGCTAGAAGTCGTTCAGGAATTTAAGTACCTGGGTAGCTATATTAGCACCCGTGGGATTGAATATGAGGTTACGAACCGTATAGCAAAAGCTCGAGGTGCTTTTGCCAATCTCCGCCACCTGTGGCGCAGACGCGACATTACTCTCGCCCTCAAGGACAGAGTTTACAACGCAGCCGTCCGTTCAACTCTCCTATATGGCTGTGAAACCTGGCCCATCAGGTCGACAGACATGAAGAGACTCGTCACGTTCGATCATCGCTGCCTTCGCAGCTTATCACATGTTTGGTGGGAGCACCGCGTGTGCAATGAGCGTGTTCGGCGTCGCGTATTTGGTGCAGGAAGAGCGAGTGAACCGCTCAGCACCATTATATCACGCACCAGGCTCCGATGGCTGGACCACGTGTTGCGCATGCCAGCACACCGACTCCCACGACGTGCATTATTTGCGCGCTGTGGGTGCGGTTGGAAGAGGAGGAGGGGAGGCCAAGTGAAGACTTGGTCGAGAGAAATGAAAACCCTCACTTCGAAGTTGGCGTCGGTTGGTACATCCCGACTGCCTGGCTGGGGTCCTAAGGACGGTGAACACGTTTGGTTGGACACACTTGCTAATATGGCTAGGAGCCGGCCCCAATGGCGTTTGTGTTGTGAGTTCCTTTATCCATCCCCCTCCAATCACGATCTCACTTGTTAGGCATAATATGACTTTCTTTTACGGCAGCCAGCTGTTAGCTCCCCGGAACGATGTCCATCCGTTAGTGGGGACTCAGCGGGCGTGCCACTGTTTGTTTGTTTGTTTTTTCTTTTCTTGCCTTTTGTATTGCGGCACAATAGCTGAGGTGTTTTCTACCTCCAGCTAACGTGTAACGATGATGATTATGATGCAAACCGGAAGGCAGTTCAAACTTGCAGCCTTCAATGTACGCACATTACTGCAGATCGGTCGGCAAGCTGGACTTGTACACACGCTAGAGACCCTTGGCAATGATATCTGCTGCCTGAATCAAACACGACTCCAGGACTCTAACTCGGTCCACCAGTTGGTGTCATCGCTCCACCCACGCACCCGGTTCCATCTCCGCCTCTCTGGTGACGCCGAGTCTGCGGCATATGGGCAAGTATATGTTGGAATCGCCCTCAGTGCTAGAGCCGAGACTGCTTTGATTGACTGGATCCCGATCAATAGCCGTCCTTGTGCGATGAGGCTCCATGGCTCTTGTAAAGTTAGCAGACGTCGAGTCGAAAAGCGTGCTCTCTTCGTGATCTGTGCCTACCCGCCCACTGAATGTAGCTCTGACATCGTCAAAGACCATTTCTTCTAGAACCTTCATGAGCTGCCTCTATGACCCCCGAAAACAGGCATCGTTGTTTTGACAGCAGACTACAACGCGCGTGTCGGTCGTCTGCTGCCATGTGAGCGCCATTTCGGGGGACGGCCTGGATACGATGATGTTCGCTCAGACAGAGGAGAGAGACTGCTCAGTCTGTGTGCTGATCATCAACTATTGCTCTCCAACACCAGCTTTCGTCATCCTGGACGCCAGTACGCTACTTGGCGCCCCCCATCATCAACTCAGCGCTGGGCACAGATTGACCACATAGCTATAAGTTGCAGTTGGCGCAGCAGCGTACGCGACTGCCGATCATTTTAGTTAACGTGCGTCGATACCGATCATGCACTGGTATGTGCGACCGTTTGCATGCATTTTGCTGGTTCGCCTAGGTCAAAACACACCCGGCTGAACACCTACAAGTTGGAGGACCCAATGGTGAAGAAGGAGCATCAACAAAGGCTTCGTGAAAATCTCCCCATTCTCTCTCACTCTGGATGTTGATCAACACTGGTCAAGTCTTCAACAAGCCATGTTGTCGGCCGGTTTGTCCACTCCTAAAAGCTGGATCTCGGGATGATCCTCGGAAGTGCTGAATCTCCGACGGGCGGTGCCTTCTGGCACAAAGCACAACGAACAAAGCCGGTCTATTACGCAACAGCTGAAATCAAGTCTTCGCTCTGATCGTGAATCCTGGTGGTCAAAACAAGCTGATGAGATGGAAGCCGCTGCATCAGCTGGCAACTTCCGCCGTCTATTTTGCATCATCAAGGCCCCCGGTTGAAATTTGCACGCTATCAGCCAGACGATTTGCGAATCAGACGGCACGAAGATCACCAACCTTCACAGACCATTGGGTCGCTGGGCAGAGCATTTCGCTCTTTAATTCAACCACCCAACACAGCCCCGTGTGACACCGCCAGCTCCAATGTATGATGCTTGACCTGTCTCCACAGACCCCCCCCAAATGAAGCAGAGATCCGAAATGCAATCCAATATTTGAAACTCAACAAGGCCTCGGGTTCCGATAGCCTACCACCGGCTATATTCAAAGATGGAGAAATTGTACTTGTCAGCAAAATCCTATCGCTGTTCACGAAAGTCTGGACTGAGGAGAAGGTTCCGAACTCATGGGGAGAATCAGTCATTGTTCCGATTCACAAGAAGGGCTCGCGCGACGATTGCTGTAACTACCGCGGAATCTCGTTGATCTTTGTCGCAACCAAAATATTCATGTCTGCCCTACTTTGCAGGCTTTCAACGACTAGAGAGGAGTTTTCTCTAGAAGAACAAGCCGAATTTCGTCCAGGCCGAGGCTGCATCGACCAAATCTTCACGCTCCGCCAACTACTCGAAGTCCGTCACATCCACCGGTGGCCAACAATCGTAGTGTTCTTGGGCATCCGAGCGGCATCTGATTCAGTAGACAGATCTGCGTTGTAAAACTGTTTACTGAAGAAAAGTGTGCCCGACAAGTCTGTAACCATCCTGAAAGAACTTTACAGTCACACGTCGGGCAAAGCCAGTGCTGACGGCACGCTCTCTTCTTCATGTGCTGTGACCAACGGTGTTCGCCAAGGTTGCCCTATTTCACCATACCTCTTAAATTTCGCCATCGAAGAGGTCGTCCAAAGAGCACTGGAAGGTGTCCAGCACTGCAGTGTTGAGCTCCTCCCTGAAGACAGAGTCACGGATTTGGACTGCGCCGATGATACTGCCTTGCTAGGGGACGATCCACAAACCATCCAGAACGCATTGGACCGCTTAGCGATGGAGGCGTCTAAGTACGGCTTATGCTTCACTCCGGCCAAATGTAAAACGCTGTTCCAGGACCGGCAGGTGCCTGAACCCGCGCTCACCATTGATGGATATATTCTGGAGCAAGTCCCTTGCTTTACTTATCTAGGGAGTTGCATTCCGGCTGGTGGCGGTGTTAGAGATGAAGTCTCACAACGGATTACGAAGACCCACATCGAATTCACCAAACTGAGATACCAATAGCGTCGTCGTGATGTCCGTCCCAAGATCAACGGCAGGGTGTACAATGATTCCGTCCGTGCAGTACTCTTGTACGGCAGTGAGACTTGGCCTATTCGCTCGGGAGACATGAAGCGGCTGCCAGCGTTCGACAACCGCTGTCTACGAAAGATTGCTCAGGTGTGGTGGCAACATCACGTAAGCAACGTAGAGGTGCGAGACCACGTGCTTTGGGCGAATAATGCCAGTCTTCAGGACGTTATTCTCCGACATCGCATGCTTTGGCTCGGGCACGTTTTGTACATGTCAGCCCTTGCCTTCCATGTGGAGAGCAATTTGCACTTTCATAAAGCGAAAGGAAAAGTGCCGCGGTGGACAGCCAATCACGTGGAGAAGGAGCATGATGAAGGCAACCTCAAGTTTGTCGGCTGTCGGAAAAGTCTGTCTTCCAGGATGGGGACAAAGAGAT